TTTCACAAAAAGCAGAAAAGTGTAATTTTAGTCAACTGTCCTCTGCAGCAACAAGACATGATGTATTGCAACAGAAAAAATAAGTGACACTGCCATTAATATCCAGTGCCCTGGAATTCGCCGGCACGCCAGAACACTTTTTATAGTGGGGCAGGCCAGGAGAATTCTATTGGCAAATCTTTAGCAATACATGCACCTTGGAACACTTATAGAATCTACAATTCAAAATCCAACTAGACTTTCTGCAAACTGACAGGGGTAATGGAGGACCTCATTCTAGTCTCTGAGTCAAAAAAAAGATATCAACCCTTGGAACTTGATTGACCAACGGGGCAGACAGAAGAGACCAGTAATCGATAGAGAGATTAATACTCATCCTAACTGTCCCAAAAGGTACCTACGAAATAGAAGAACTGTGTTGCTAAGACAACCAAGAACCTGTCACCAATAATGCTGCTCCTTCCTATGATCTGTACACCTAACTGACCCAACAACCCTCACAAAAACGATATCATGTCTCACCCCTTCCTTTATTCTCTCAACCCCCATGCATGTTCATAAGCGGGGAAGAGTGAAGAAACAAGACTGGCCTTTAAAATTGTGTTTTATATATATTCAGAGGAATTATTTGGGAGGTAGTAATAGTAAGGCATGAAAGTTAAGAGCTTTGGAATAAAGACTGCCTGGGTTCTAATCCCAGTTCTACCCATATGACCTTGGGCAAGTTGCTTAGCCTTTCTGTGCTTTAGTTTTCTTCCTCACCAATAAAATGGGAATGATAACACATACCTCACAGGGTTGTTGCCAGAATTAAAGGAAATAATACATTTAGAACAGTGTCTGGCATAGATATTGCTAGTAGGTGGAACTAGGTAAAATCGCCATTTTGTAGGTCAAAAACAACAGAACAGTGGCAATTTTATAAGATTCAACCTATCATCATCATCATCATCACTTAAATATTGTTATTGCTGAAACTACAAACACGAGCTCTGTCAACAGCGGCTTGTTGGATTGAGGTCTTGGATGCGATAGGCCTTACAGTCACAGGTAGTTTGCGCAGATTTGCAGAAGTCAAGATTAATTAGCTGGGGAGTGATGAAGACATGGAACTTCCTCAGGTCTTCCTTCAATCTTTATTTTCCCTTTTCTATATTGCCATAGGGATCTAGAGCCCTCTGGTAACTACTTAGGAAATGAACACACACACACACACACACACCCCGCAGCTGGAAATACCTTGAAAGAAATCACAAACACTCCCTCTGTTTCACTTCCGTACTGCGGAACTGCCTCTTCGTCTTCTGTCACCATGATGATGGGCATCCTGTCCTGGCAGTGGTGATAGTACCAAACGGCTGCCTTGTAGATGCTCCTAGAAAAGCAAAGGGCACGTGAGCCCTCAGGGCAGACAAACACAAGCTCTTATTCAGAATTTTATATCTTACTTTCGCCTGCAATCCTTTGGTTTATACAGCGAGCTATTCACTCCACAAATACTTCCTGACACTGTTGTAAACACCCCGGGTTGGGTACTCTGGGGGATACAAAGCGTTTGACATCTCTTCTTCCCCACGACATCCACTGGCCACCTCGATCCCTTTCATTGCTTGATGTGGCCTAAAAACGATGAGGTTCTGCCATCTGCTAACGCTTTTTACCGAGAGAGTGAGTGACACAGCACCACATAGATGACAAGCTATGTGAGGCTTAAAAGATAAAGAAACAAGCCCTGGCTGGGTGGCTCAGTTGCTTGGAGTGTCCTCCCACACACCAAAACGTTGAGGGTTTGATCCCGGATCAGGGCACATACCTAGGTACAGGTTCGATTTGGGTCAGGGCACATATAGGCGGCAACTGATGGGCATTTCTCTCGAAAAATAAATGAAAAAGCTTATCCTAAAAAGCTAACGGGGGCACTCACTCAAAGCCCTAGCCTCCGACCTTCGAGGTAACTTCTCAGGCACACTCTACTCAGCTTCTCAGGGGATCCCAGCAGGACGGAGCCTCAGTTTCCCACAGCATGAACATATCCTTCCCTGCGTTCCCTCCTTCTCTGTCTCACTATCCCCACTGCCTCAGTCCTGCTTATGGGAACTGCCTCAGAAGTAAACAACTCACACCAAGTCCTTGCTTCAGGCCCTGCTTTTAGGTGGATCTAAACTATGACACGGCTCTTCCTAAAACAGATCTACTAGAATGAGCCTACCAGTGTCAGCTTACTAAGGCTAGTTGGAATAGAGGTACATCAGAGAAACTGAGATCTTAGCTCCAGAGTAGGACTCCCTGTACTCCCACACACAAGCATTGAAGTGATGATGTTTGGATCACTGGAATGACTCTGCTAGCTATTAGTGTCTGGGGCAAAGTCACTCTGGGTATAACCTCCCTAATTATAATTTCTAAAATAGATCAATTAGGCATTCAATTGACATATCTAAAACATTGACATAGTAAGCATTTCAGCATTCATCATGGTTCCAGAATAATTGTTGATTTTAGCATACCACTTAGATTCATTCCCAAATAGCCAAGGTTAAAGAAATTACAGAAGATGATCCCATGAACACGCACAGCAATTCGGTGCCATACCTCGTCTGCCACTTTTCCATGGATTCTCCTCTCTCCCGAGGGAGGTAGCAGGACTGCTGGAATTCATTAGCAAAGAGAACGCAATCATGACGTGCATCCTTCAAGAGGTTTCGCAATTTATTATACTGCCTGTGACACAGAGGAGAAAAATAAATCTAACACAGCAGGTACTCATCTCCTGCCAGCTCTTGCTAAGGATCAAAAAAGATGAGGCCGTTTAGAGAAAAAGATTGATCATTTAAAACCCGAGAACCATTTATTTAATAGTGACCTTAGTGTGCGCAGGATCATTGGGCTGCTCCTTCTCAGTTTTGTCTGCTGGAATGTGTCTGAGCAGGTCCTCATTAATTAGTTTGTGGATCAGTCCAACCCCTCTATCCCTCTCCCTCCTTCTGGGACATCTGGCCCTTTATTATGTAATGATATGACGCTGCCTCACAGAGCCCGCACTTCAAAGGCTCACTTCACTTTTGTGTCTCACTTTGTTCTCTAAATGGCATAGGCATTGGTGCCTTTTGCTTTTTGCTGGCAGCCCTGGAAAACTAAGTATGGGGATTTGTCTGTAAGTTTTATTTATGCAGCCACGTCATTCACATGAGTGAGGCCGGCTTCATCTGTCAGAGAACTAACAGAGAGTTTTAAGGTTTCCCATCAGGAGATCCAATGCTAGTCAGAGTCACAAATCAAATATGGGGCCTTATATGGGTCAATTTCTGAGAAGGTGCTTTTCGATAGTCTGGGTAATATGGACTACAGAATACTTCGTTATGTCATAGGAAGACAATGCTTATTTAAAAAAGAGATTGACATGAAACCAGATATTAAATTGATATATAAATTATCCAAGGTATATGACTTATTATTTAATATAATAAAATCTGTGCCCTTCCATTCCCATCACCAGGCTGCCACCATGGGTTTTTAAGAAATCAGTCTTGCCGAGACCGGTTTGGCTCAATGGATAGAGCGTTGGCTTGGGGACTGAAGGGTCCTGGGTTTGATTCTGGTCAAGGGCATGTACCTTGGTTGCGGGCATATCCCCAGTGGGGGGTGTGCAAGAGGCAGCTGATCGATGACTCTCTCGCATCGACGTTTCTAGCTCTCTATCTCTCTCCCTTCCTCTCCATACAAAATCAATAAAATATATTTAAAAAAAAAGAAAAAAAGAAATCAGTCTTTTCATGAAAGCAAAGACAGAACTCTCCAAATAAATGCTAACCACCATCGTCTGTCTCAACATTTCATTAGAAAACAAGAAACACTGATTTTCTTTTCTTGGTAATTCTGTATTTGAGCCAACAGAAAAAGAATCATCAACTAATACAACTTGTAAAATTCCCTAATAAACAAAGGGATTCATTTTCACTTCTGTGGATGGCAGCTTTCTTTAACAGATCCCACCGTGCAGAAAAAGCTGCCCCACCCCACAATGCCCAGAACTTATTAAGTCGGTAATTTTCCCACACTCACAGTTACACTGAAATCATTTTTAAAGCCTCTTAGATTATGCACAGAGGAGTCTACACCACCTGTCAACAGTGATCATCCCTGCAGACCGGTGAGGCAAGGCTTTTACTTCCTGCTTTACACGTTTCTGTTACGCACGAATTTTTCCAAATAAGCATTTATTTGTTAAGCAATAAGAAATATTTTAGAAGAGGCTTCATAAACATCTACAATTTATGATCTCAGAGGAAACACCAGAAACAGATTGCCCATTTTTCCTGATCATATATATTCTCCTGTTTGTGTTCCCTTTATATACCATCACATTGTAGACACCCCCAATAAAGCAGCTGCACTTAGTGTAATTATTTGTTTACAAGTATTTCCCTGGTTCAGTATCCTTCACCCGCACATTTTTGCTGCACTCTCCTGGGTGCCAGGTCTTTGGCTCCACTGCATGCCCTCAGGGGCCGCCACCCACACATCTCACTGCTGTCCTCTGTGCGAAGCAGTCCTGCTCCTGGTGAAAACAACAGAACCACCCCTTCCTCAAAATAAACAAACAAACAAACAAACAAATAAATAAAATAAAACCAAGAACCATGAAAGGACCCAGCAATCCCACTAATGGGTAGAGACCCTAAAGAATTGAAAGCAGGGTCTCAAAAAGATATTAGTACACTCCTGTTCAGAGCAGCATTATTCACAATAGCAAAAAGTGGAAGCAACCTAAGTGTCCATTGACAGGTAAGTGGAAAACCAGAATGTGGTAAATATATGTACCATGGGATATCATTCAACTTTAAGAAGGAAGTTCTGATACACGCTATGACATGGCTCAAGCTTAAAGACATGATGCTTCTGGACTGGCTTCAGTGTTTTCCAAATCTCTATTATCAAAAACATTTCCAACCATTTCTTAGGAGGACAGCTGAATTTAACTTCTTTAAATTGATTTTTTGTTTTTACTATTTTTACCCAAGGTGATCTGACAGATGCAACATCCCTTCATCCCATCCCCCTGCTGACTGTACTCCCTGGGGATGAGAAGTGGGTGTCCCACAATCAGCGGGGAAGTGAGTTCTGCATTCAGCATTGTGTTTCTTCAGCCAGTTTCCACAGAACCTTGGTAGGGTCAAGTAGACTTTCCTTTTTAAAATATATTTTATTGATTTTTTTTTTTTAGAGAGAGGAAGGGAGAGGGATAGAGAGTTAGAAACATCAATGAGAGAGAAACATTGATCGCTGCCTCCTGCACACTCCCCACTGGGGATGTGCCAGCTACCAAGGTACATGTCCTTGACCGGAATTGAACCTGGGACCCCACAGTCCGCAGGCTGACGCTCTATCCACTGAGCCAAACCGGCCAGAGCTAGACCTAGACTTACTTTCAAAGGTCCTTGAGTTTTCTATAAGAATTTTAAGTTTATGTTTCCATTTATATTAGGTGATTCTCTTAAAACGTTTCTAACAGAGTATCTTTGGGACCAGCTGAACCACTGCCTTCTCACTGCGGCACCCTTTGTGGTCAGTGCCTGCCCTCCTGAAAGCCTCAGATACGTCAAACTCAAGACCTTTCTCCGCCCCTCCCCCTTAGGCCTCCTTGGGTGCATCCTCTCTCCATCCACTTACATAAGCCAGAAACTGTAGTGTTATCCTTGACACCACCTTCTTCCTCACCTCACTTATCTAAATCCATACTAAGTTCTATAGATTTTTTTAAAAAGTAACAGCTTTATTGAGATATAATTCACATACCATAAAATTCACCCTTTAAAATGAACATTTCAATAGTTTTTAGTATAGTCACTGAGTTATGTAACCATGCCCACGATCTAATTCCAGAACATTTCATCACCTTCAAAAGAAAAATACCCATTAAGCAGTCATTCTCCATTTCCCCTGACCCACAGCCCCTGGCAACCGAACTAATCTACTTTCTGTTTCTTGTATTTACCTATTCTGACATTTTATATAAGTGGAATCATATACTATATAATTTTTCTGTGGGGTTAGTTTCTTTCACTTATAATATTTTCAGGGTTCATCTAGTTGTGGCATGTATCAGTTCTTCATCTCTTTTTATGGCTGAATAATATTTCTTTGCATGAATAAACTATTCATCAATTGATAGGCATTTGGGTTGTTTCCATTTTTTTGGCTAATATAAATAGAGCTTCTATGAACATTCACGTCAAGTTTTCGTGTGGACATGTTTTCAATCCTCTTGGTCACGTACTTAAGAAGTTCTATACATTTTACCTACTAAATAGCTATTTGAAGTGTCTATTTCTCTCCATCTCTAAGCTACCAACATCTCTCATCTGAACTAAAGCAAAAGCCTCCTGTCTTCTGCCTGCTTTTTCTCCACTGGCTCAGTAATCTTTTAAAACCAGCAATCTAATTATGTCATTTCACCCTGCTTAAGACCCTTCACTGACATTGCTGAGGCCCCCGAGGTCTACCACCCAATCCAAGGCCTTCTTCTTCCTCTTCCTCTTTTTTAAAAAATATATATTTTATTGATTTTTTACAGAGAGGAAGAGAGAGGGCTAGAGAGTTAGAAACATCGGTAAGAGAGAATCATCAATCAGCCACCTCTTGCACACCCCTTACTGGGGATGTGCCCGCAACCGAGGTACATGCCCTTGACCGGAATCGAACCTGGGACCTTTCAGTCTGCAGTCAGACGCTCTATCCACTGAGCCAAACTGGTTTAGGCTCAAGGCCTTCTTTATGGTCCTGGAGCAGCATTCCCTTCCCTATGACCTTGCACAGCAGTTTCCTCACCGGGGAAGCTTTCCTCTGGTTTCTACCTGCTCCTCCCTCAGGAAAGCCTTTCCCGTCTCCCTGATGACTTCCGGCTCTCCTGGAGCCCTGTCCCTGTCCTCAGAGCCCCTGTCAGAACTGCAATTCTTCCTCTGTTCCTGTGATTACCTGATACTGCCTGCTTCCCCTCAAGATCATATCCACTTTTGTTCACTACTGCAGCCTCAGTGCTGGCAGTTTCTGGAACCTATAGTCTTTCAATAAAGATTTGTTGGATAAAAAACAACCCCTGTGAATGAATGTGGTCAACAAGATAGCCTTATACAGAGTTATCAAGAAACCCCTCACTGAATAATCATTTGAGGATTGTTAGATGGCAGAAAATGTGATTATCCTGAACAATCAAAACCTTAACTTTTCATACTGTTTTGTATAATATACTAATGAGAACAGGCCATTTTTCTGCATCAATATTATTAAACACACACACACACACACACCAAAGTCATATTAAATACAGGGGCAGATTATAGCTCTGTCTCTCTCCAACTCTGGTAATTCCACTTCAGTAAAATAATGTCATCTGTCACATTAAATTAATGTTCATTTGCAGTTTTCTGATTTTAGTTTTGTTTATTGGATTTGAAGGTTTGATTTTTTGTTTTATTAATCCTCGCCCTAGTATATTTTTCCATTGATTTTTAAGGAGAGTGGAAGAGTGAGGGGAAGAGATAGAGAAACATCAATGTCAGAGAAATGCATCAATTGGTTGCCTCCTGCACAAGTCGACCATGGAGGGCCTGAGCCAGGGAGGTGCCTGCAACCAAAGTATTTGGTCCGCAAGCTGATGCTCTATCCACTGAGCAAAACTGGCTAGGGCTCTATTTGGTCTTAGTGTTGTATTAAGTACTTAAGCATGAGGACTTACACCTAACTTACGTTTAAACATATTTAAATAATAATACAACAACATAATTTAAATAAACACTGGGTGTCCGTGAGAAATGCTTTCTTTTAGAAACAAAGTCAGTGACATTTCTCACGTTGAGTAATACTGATGTACTGAATGGGGATAGATCATGTTGGCCTCTTAGATCCTCTTCAACTCTAACAGTCTATGATCCCTATCTTATGTTATATATTGAGAATTATTGAGACTCTGAAGCTATACAGAAGAAATCAGAAAGGGGGTCAAAAGGAGAGAGCAAGGCATCCTTAAACTAGACACTAGACCAGAGCAGGAATTTTATTTTATTTTTTGTTAATCCTCACCGGAGGATATTGTCCATTGATTTTTTTTTTTTTTTTTTTTTTTTTTTTATAGAGTAGAAGGGAGGTGGAGAGACAGAGAACACTTTGACTGGTTGCCTCCGGCATGCACCCCCTGGACCAGGGATTGAGCCTGCAACTGAGGTACCCAAGCCAGGACTCTTCAGTCGCAGGCTGACGCTCTAGCCACTGAGCCAAATCCGCTCTGGCCTGAGCAGGTGTTTTTAACTGAAAAAGCCATACTGCTCCTAAAAGCACATAAAAAGCTATTTACTAGCATCTCAAAAATTTCCAAGGAAGATCTGAAAAACAAAACGTTTCCCAACATTAAATGAAGCGATCACCACAGAGCTTCTGCCAGGCCACATCTGGATAAATATAAAAAGTAAAAGGACTTACACTTTTGTACAATATATTATACTAATGGGAACAGGCCACTTTGAACACTTATGAACACCAGGTTAACAAAGCAAACTCCTGAATGTTATCTATTCCACAGCGATCATCAATTCTAAAGTTAGCTTTCCACATCTGACACTTTCGAGGGCGTAGGCCATTCTGGTCATTGAGCTACATCAATCTGAACACAACAGCTGGCTGCTTAACAGACAGACAAAGCAGCAAGTCCCAAACTTGCTGATTCCTTTCCTGCCTCTTTTCTCTCGACATCAATCATGTTCACTATCCCTCCTTTAAGACCAGTCTCTAACCTCTTCAGAGGACTTTGTAGCTTAATCTCCACACCCCATATATACTTCTGCACTTTGTATAGTCCACATTCAATTATCCCACTGTCTAAGGTATGTCATAGTTACCTTCTTGCTTCTTGCTTCCGACTCCAACAAGACAATATGTCTGCTGAGAAAGGAGCTAAGACTTTGTACTACTCCAGAAGGCCTGAAAGTAGAGGCTCACAAAGTGCTTACCAAATGGGAAACCAGGGTGTTATCATATGGCCTACTTCATAACTCATCTTTTGTTTTCACATCTAGTATATTCATAGACGTGGTAAAGCAATGGAAAACCAATAGTTTTTCATCAAGTTAACTACTTTTGAAATGTTCAGGAGAAAAGACATTTAAATCCAAATTCTTTGTTTTTTTTAATGTCCTAGCAATTGGTTTTTAAAACAATCCTTAATATTAAAAATATTTTAGAAAACAGAAGCTGAAAAGGCTCTGCAGTGTGTTAGCAATCTGAATGATAACAACAAATTGATTTTAGTAGCAGAAATTGAAATACGACACCTGGAGCAGCATTTAAATCTGAATGTGTATAAACATCTATATCTTTCTGTCTGAACAAAATCAACTTCAAGCTCATTTAAAAATATTCTATCTGAAAAACCTGCACACAATCTACTTAATGCATATTTTTTTGAACTGAGCATATAATAAGGACAACTTATCATTTTCATATACAAATAAACACAGTTCATCTTTTACGACTAAGATCTGAAGAAACGACAACATTTAAAAAAGAATAAATGCATGGTTTCTGCTTTTTAAATGACTTGGGGTGTTAAGAGTCTGGATATATAGTTTGTAATGCTGTATGCTGCTTCCATACAGCAGGAGTCTTCAAGTTCAAATCGTAAATCTTTTCCCAGTGTTAAATGAAACAAAACCAATCTTTGAGCATTTGTTTAAAAGGTACAAGGCAAGCATTTTAGACCGACTTCAATAAAAAATCCTTTGTTTAGCAAATACAATTACTAGGGTTGGTAGTTATAACAGTAACCTAAAAATAAAACAAGTTATTTCTGATTTCATTGAATAAATCACTACAAATACGATTTGTATCTACCCTAAAGGAGTCTAAAATTTAAAATTAAAGTACTTTTCCCCAAGGGAATAAAAAGCAAGCATCTGAAACAATAGATCTATAAATAAGAAGATTAAATAATAGGCATTATCAACAAGAAATAAGCAATAACTGTATAAAATGTAAACCAAAAGCCAAGGATCTAAAATACCCTCATCCTGGGGACACTGCAGTTTATTGATCTACAAGTCAGATCTTTTGGACAGATGTTGAAGCAGAAATATAAAGTAATGTTATTGCATTCCTACCAGCAAAGAGAATACTACATTAGTTAAAAAAATATTTTCTGACAAAATAATAAATGCATGCCCTTCCCCTACAACAAAGGATCTTCCCTAAAAAAGGGTGTATGTGTGTATGTATGTGTTTGTGGGGGGGTAGAGCATCAACACAATAAATAAATAATGCAGAACAGATACCTCCGGCCTCTTTGATGCTGCACAGCTTGACAAGCTGTTTGCATGAAAATAATTCCCTTTAATTCGGGAAACTCAAGGATCTCGAGGTAATCTTGAACAACTTTCCAATCTGGGACCATGTAATGAGTCACATCACCAGACAAGAGTTTCCCATCTGAAACATAATTCAAAATGCAAGAGATTAGACAACACTTGCAAACCTGGTTTATTACTATTTCAATGTCACGGTGCCCTCCTGTGCAAAATAACTTCCAACCTCAACTATGCCGTGAAGTTTTTAAAGGACAAGACAAATGTGCTTTGGTAGAGGCCCAGCGTTCAGGTAAATCCAGCACCTTCATTTTTCTGAAGCTGTGATAAATAAAGGTTCGGTGTGGTTTACAGTGTTGCCAGTGGAGCAGGGGAAAACTGATTTTTTTTTTTTTTTTTTTTTTTGAACAGGCACATCTTCAACACAACCTGAATATTTGCGTTAACTGGGGAGAAGCTTACATTTAAGGAGGCACTCTAAAAATGCACCTGTTAGCCGCTGGTTTCTGTCCAGCAATTTCAATTCGGTACTGTCTCAAGTTTGTGAACATGCGCATAAGTCCCCAAGGTCCAGAAAAGATGCTCAGGGCAAGCAAGGGCCGTGGCAGGGTGTCCACCCAGACCAAGTCAGGGAGCTGGTTAGCCAAGAAGTCACTGAGATGTTCCTTGAAAAGGCCCAGGACGCTCCTCTCCCCACAGAGGGAAGAGAACCAGTGAGTACCTTCTGCGTCCAATGGGCAGTGCAGGAAGGTTAGTGCACTGCAGCCCCAAATGCAACTCCCCCATGACCTTCCAGGACAGGCGGGTGGGCCTCGTGCACAGACCCTAGGTGAGGAGGGCTCTCCCCTGGACAGAAGCCTGCGGCCTCCGAGCTGGCGGCCAGAGGATGTGTAGGGAGCAAAGAAAGAGGGCGGCAGCAGGTCCCGCGCCCAGGCCCCTGGTTCGCGTCCCGTCAGTGGCCGCGGGGCCCGCAGCTCAGGGCTCCCCTGTCCCCGCCTGCAGCCCCGGGGGCAGCCGGGCGGGCTCCGCGCTCCGGGCTCTCGGGAGCCCCGGGCCCAGTGCTGGGCGCAGCCGTCGGGGAGGAGCCCCACAAGCCGCGCGCCTCGGCGTCTCTGCGGCTCGGGGGCCGCAGCTCCAAGCTCCCGACCAGCAGTCCGGACGGAGGGGAGGCCGGGGCGGCGGGGGCCCGGGGGCCCGGGGGCCTGGCTTCGGCGCGTCCCCGGCCGCGCGCTCCGCCTCCCGCCGCCTCCTGGGACGCAGGACTCCCGGCTTCCTCCGGGCCCCGCTCCCCTGGCTCCGCCCGGCCAGGCCCCCTCTCCCAGCCCCGCTCCCTCCCGGGCCCGCTCCCCTCGCCCCCGCCAGGCCAGCCCCCTCCCCCGGCCCCGCTCCCCCGCCCCGCTCCCCCCCGCGCCCCGGGCGGACCGTTGCGGCAGGCGGCGGGCCGCGGGCACAGCGGGCTGTTGCAGGGCACGCTGGGCCGCAGGTAGTGCTCCCGCACGATGCGCAGCGTCCGGCCCTGGAAGGTTCGCAGCAGCAGCACCTTCTCCCGCTTCTGCAGCATGGCGGCCGCTCCCTCCGGCCCGGCTCCGGCTCCGCTCCGGGCTCAGCTCCGGCCTGGCTCCGGCCGCGGGGCCGCCCCAGCCGAGCGGCGGCGCGGGCGGAGGCGAGGCCGCGGCTTCGGGCCCGCCCCCTGGGCCTGGGCCTGGCCCGCGCGGGGCTCCTGGGGCCCTGCTCTCCGCCGCCGCCCTCCCGCCCTGGCCCCCGGGGCGGGTGGGGCACTCCGGGTGGCTACGCCTCCCCCCACTCAAATCCCCACCCCGGCCTCAGTTTCTCCCTCCCTCCCTGCCTGGGAGCCGGATGGTGGCGGAGGGAACGAGCGAAAGACTATGGGAAGTTAATGTATGGACGCTGGAAGATGACACACGGAAGCCACCCTAAGGTCTTGTGAAGAAACATGTGCTACAACTACAGAGGGTTATTTTACTTTGTGTCTTCCCCCAGGTCCAGAGGGGAGTGAGCAGCCGTACTGCTATGGGTAATTTGTGCTTGATGTCCCTGAAAGAGCTAAAAGAATCAGCAAATAAGTCAGGAACCCTGCCAGCCTGTTTTTCCACCCCTCTTCCCCCTTAAAAAAATTGTATTTATTTTTAATTTCATGTATTTTTAATCCATATAAAAATTGAAACAATGCAGAGCCCGTCCCTTGAGGTGTAGACGTGTCTCTTTAACCCCAACGTTGTATGTAGCATTTGCAGCCTCTGGCGAAGGGAGTTTCCTTGACACTTGGTGAGACTCCCAGTTTCTTCTGAGATCACACAGCCTTGGTTGGAGAGAAGCCACTGTTCTTTCAAGCTCTTGAACAAAGACTTTTGAGCTGCACCAGAAGCATTACAGACAATTGTCACATTTAATTTCCACAAGTCAGGGGAGTCGGGCATGATCGTCCCCATTTCACAGGCGATGAAACAGGATTAGGGAGGTGAAGTGGCCAAAGTTACCCAGTTATTAAGTGGAGGAATCAATATTCAAGCCAAAGCAGACTCTTAACTAATTACTGTGCTATTCACAGATGAATAAAATATAGCTCTTGTTTATAGTCTGCTTATTGAGCTCTAGTCCAGGCAGTTCGTCCAGCTGGCTGGGAACATGGGAGTTTCTTGTTATGCTGAAGTAAGCAGAAGTAGGGTGTCCTGCTGGACTGCTTACTTTTATCCTGGGCCAGTGGTCGGCAAACTCATTAGTCAGCAGAGCCAAATATCAACAGTACAATGATTGAAATTTCTTTTGAGAGCTGAAAACCAACGTCTGTGCAGGGCCACTTTCAATCGCACATGGTATTTTGTGGAAGAGCCACACTCAAGGGGCCAAAGAGCTGACCACTGTTCTAGGAGGACATAGTAAAAAAAAAGTTATAGTCCCTCACCCATTGTGTTTTTATGTCAAGTTATCAGCAATATGGGATAATGTGAGGGAGATGTGAGATGGAATTTCACAATTGTGGAGGGCTGCCTGGGAAGGCACATGGGCATTTTCTTTTAAATTATCAGCTGAGTCTGAGACAACTGGCAGAGCAGAGGCTCCAATACACATTTCCGCAAGTTGGGGGAAAGTGCAATCAGCCCAGGTGTCTGGCAGGGGCGGGACTAGATATGTAAATCCAGACAAGCTACAGGAATGCTAGGGCCTACTTAAGAATGCAAATAAGCTCCTTTGATCCTAAGTTTTGGTGTTACTTCCTGGTATTGGGGGTATAAAATAAATGTGCTGGGAGGGGTCACATCATCATCTTCCTACCTCTCCAGCAGACAGGATGGCAGCCCACCCAGCTCCCGGCTTTAAATCTATCTCTGTGTCTTCTCTCTTTATTTCTATTATTTCTCAATCCCTGGCCGCCTCCACTTAGAACCTGTTCATTCATATCTCTTTTCGCGCTGGCCGTGGAAAAGAGAGATCCCCGCCATGTTTGGCCCTCGCCGCATCAGGCCCCGCACACAAGTTAGGAAAACATAGGGCTGGTTCATAGGCCAGAACAGTAGGAGGCCCCATAAAGCAACCCGAGGTGCAGGGGGCCCTCCCTAACTCAGGAGGCCAGTTCCAGAGATCCCAGGGGATAGGCAAATTTGTCCTTTCCATAAAAATGCCTCCTATTGCTGCCCAATTCCCTCCAAAGCGCTCCCATTTTCATTTTTCTCTTACTTCTGATTTTATGTCCTTAACATCTCTCCTTGGCATTTTGTAGCTTTAAGCTTTCTCTAAATTGTAACTAATGACCTTTTGAGGAAAAGAGTGTATCTGGCAGCTGTATTGAAAGCTGATTTTATCAGTATTTAAAATAATCCAAAGCCCATCAAGCACTTTTTTTTTGCTTGCATTGAGGCAATAATGAATAAATCATGTTCTTTAAAAAAAATTTTTTTTAAATTTATTTTTTAGAGAGAAGAAGGTTGAGAGGAACATCAATTGGCTGCCTCCCTGCTCACCCCCTAATCAGTGTGTTGGATTTCACACACATACATGTGTGTATGTGTGTGAAATCCAACCTGCAACCTGTATATGTGCCCTGACCAGGAAACAAACCTGCCACCTTTTGGTGTATTGGACAATGCTCCAACCAATGGGCCACACCAGCCAGGGCTAACTTTTATTCTTAAAAGCATGGCCCCTTAGTTCTCGGAAGTGATGACCTAAAATGGACAAGCATCTGATTCCTCTTGCCTGAAAAAAAACAAAAAAAAAGGTTTCTATGTCAGAATAAATTAGGTTATGCTGCAGTAATACACAACTTCAAAATCCCAGTGATTTAAAAACACCAAGATGCTGCCTGGGTGACTAGAAGCTCCACTGTTGTCCTTCACCAGAAGCTAGACTGATGGAGGCCAGTCCTTTCTGCAATACTGTTTGCTATTCTCTGGCAGAGGGAAAAGAGCCCTTTGGACCCCCTTACCCCAGCAGTTAAAAGCTCAGACAGGGAGTTCCTTCTGCCTGTTGGCTGGAACTAGTCACATGACCACACACCCAAAAGCAGAGCACAGAAACCCTTTGGTGAGCAGCAGAAGTGGCTGAGTGTCCCCAACGCACACCCTTTTGTCAGTCTGTTCTGCCATCACCTTCACCCCTGGTCCTGTGACTACTCTAGCTCTGCCCCACTATCCAGTCTCTGCTTAAGTATTCTACTGTCACCTCTTTTTACATCCTCACCCCTCTCCCTAATAGCGAGGGAACCAAACATAAGTCACCATATCATCTTTAATCCTATCACAGTCCTTCAAGGTAAATACGTATTTTGTGTGTGTGGGACAGAGACTGGTTCTCTGTTCAGCAAATCCATGCCCTCTTCTTTTCTGCGAATACAGATGAACCACATTTCCCATCTTCCTTTGCACATAGGTAGGTGTGGCCACACAATGTTATGGCATCGTTTCCAGGACTGGCCCATCAATACCTCTCATGAATGCTCTTCTTTCCTGTGCTACCAGCTAGATGCCGAAAGCCCACGCGGTCTTGGAAGCCAGCATTGAAGTCAGCAAACCCCCTCCCGCCCCCATCAACATGGGTCTCAGAAGGTCTGTGCAGAGCAGAGCCCTGCATCTCCCACCCAAGAGCATCCACAGAAGATTAATGTAAGAAGAAATAAACTTTTGTTATAGCAGCTACCATTACCCTAGCTCTGTGGTCTGCAAATTGCAGCTCTTTGGCCCCTTGAGTGTGGTTCTTCCACAAAATACCGTGGCCTGGGCAAGTCTATTTTGAAGAAGTGGCATTAGAAGAAGTTTAAGTTTAAAAAATTTGGCTCTCAAAAGAAATTTCAGTGGTTGTACTGTTGATATTTGGCTCTGTTGACTAATGAGTTTGCTGACCACTGCCCTAGCTAATACACACCTACTTTACAAAGGAGAGTGAAGGCTTGAGAATTGACTATTTGTTTTTAAAACACACACACCCTTAGTAGATAGTAAATGGTCTCGATGAAGGTTCTCAAGGATGCGTCAGCAGTTCTAAGTTGTGCAATCCTAGGAGGTGAGAGAGCAGCTCTGGTTCGGTCTGGGATATGGTGCCATGGCAGTGACATAAGGGGAAGGATGCTTGGTGGCTTGCTTCTCTTTTTACTTTTTTCTTACCCTGTCAATCTAAGTACAGATAGACAGCCTGGTGCCCAGATAGCAGAATGCTGTGACAGCTTTCAGCACTGATGGAAATCTCAGTGGTGGCTCGGCTTCCCTGGTGCATGACTGCAGTCTCTTTTCAGGCTGAGCACCGGCATGCTTGCACTGCAGGAGTCTGTAACATTTGCATGCCTTGTGCAGACGCACTCTGGGAGTGCAGACATCAGCAACCACTGGATTATAATCAAAAGGTCTCATCAAAAGGTTAGTCTTCAGAGGGCAGGACATTTGCACAAAGGGCTAAGAGGACAGGGAGGTTAAATCTATAAAAGGAATTCTGGAAGATGAGCTCTAAGGGTTAGCATGGATTCCTGAAGCAGGCTTTGAAATATTCTGTCTTAACTTACCTATTTAAGAGTACAATGGTACAACATGCTTGTTGCAACACATTCCAACAATACTGAGGTGTATGCCAAGTAAAAACATCGATGTTCTGCTTGCATCCAAAGTCTACTTCTCCCAAGTAATTTACCATTGTTGATCGTTGGTATTCATCCTAAAAGGCTTTAAATATAACCCTCACATTTGCAACGTTCTGAACAGCTTGTCAATTTATGCAGCATCAGCTAATTACACTAACATTTCTCAGGTGCCAGGCAGTGTTTGAAGCACTTTTCTTATGTTGTTTTTTTTTCCCATTTGATCCTCAAAACAATGCCTTGATTGTGATATTGTTACCAACTACATTTTACAGACATGCAGAAGGATTGAGACTCAAGCCACACATGCAGTGTGTGGCAAAGCTAGACTTAGACTCCAGAAAGGTTGGCTACAGAGCGCGGGCGGTAATGACGAAGTCATTGCACTTTTTAGCTAGCCAACAGTGAGTTACAGGAGGGGGTACATTCCATCGATATTTAGTGGACCATGGGTGATCCCACTTATTTTAGGGTGAGAGAACTGGAAACAGTGCCATTCAAATATTGACCCCATTTCTTTTCATTTTTTTGGTTATTTCTCACCTGAGGATATTTTTTTTCCCTTGATTTTTTAGACAGTGAAAAGGAGGGGGAGAGACAGAGAGAGACATCGATGTGAGAAAGGCAGATCTGAAAGAGACACATGTTGATTGGTTGCCTCCCTAATGTGCCTGGACCGGGGCTGGGGATGAAGCCTGCAACCAAGGTACATGTCCTTGACTGGAGTCAAACCCAGGACCCTTCAGTTTGAGGGCCGATGCTCCAGTCACTGAGCCAGACCTACTAGGGTGATCCTACTACTTTCCTAACTTCCATGAGCCTTAGTGATCTTGACTATAAAATACAGCTAGCAAGACAGATATTGCTAGCCATATTAACGAGTCAATGATTCTAAAGAGTCATGTACGTGTCTAAAATTATCCCATTTTTTCTAAAGAATCAACTTACTTTCAGTTGTGTACTAGCTCAGTGGGAGAGTCCTGGGAGGACAAATGGCTGCTGAGATTACTCTGCTCCTTGTTTTAGAGATAATTTAATTTCATATGTGTTAATCCTAGATTTTCACTTTTCTCAGCAGATACAGTGGCTCCCTTTTGACTTTCTAAAGATGCTATGAATTCCCATAATCCACTTTGCAATGATTACTCTAAAATGTTCTGCTTAACTCTTTCTAATTTTTTTAAAGAGAAAATTATTTTGTACTTACCAATTTTATATCTCAGCAAGTTTGTTACTGTACTGTTAACCTATCAATAATTTTGTCCTTCTACCACTAAGGGGCGCTGTTTATTGATATATATAATTTTTTTTTTTTTTTTGTGGAGGGTGAGGGTTCTTCAGCTGAATTTCTTTTTTGTGGTGGTATCTGAGTAGTTGAAACTTGGGCCTTTTGCATACTACTATTAAAACACATCCAATTAGTTGAGGCAAACAAACAAATCTTAGTAATAAAAAAGAAAGAAAAAGCAAAAAAGAAAAAGAGTCCTTTAGTATTAAACAATACATTTATCCAGGAGCTTAAAGGTTCAGATGCTCCAAAATTAATTAGAAACCGGGCTTCATTGATTAATACAGAAAATAAAAAGAAAATACTTGAAATCTTGAGTAAGACTAGCAGAAAATCCAGTTATGTGGATAGCCACTTATAATTCAAAAATAGAAGCATTACTATTTGTCATTTAATTTTTTTCATATTGATCTTATTTGATGGAATTAAATTTTCATTAATCTTGTAGGATTATTATTACCAGTGGAACATTAGCCATGATATATTTGTTATTTTATTGGGTGAATGTATTACAAGGAGTTTTTCTGTATTTTACTATATTTTTACTGCATATGTTTAAATTTGGGAAAGCGAATTCCATTTTATGTCTCACAAAGATAATTCTATGAATTATAAAACCTTATAATTACAATAGAAAAGTTGTAGGAAATGGCAGGAAGAATAAGGAGTGCTTAACAATGACCCTAACTTCTAGAAAACCTTCCAGGTTTTGGATAAACATAGTATTAAACTTTAAATGACACTTTTGTATTTGGTTCCAAAGGAAGAAGAATGAGGGCTGAGGGCTAAAAGTTAAAGTTACATTTACACTTAACTTTCTTTATATGTTAGGCCACAGTAAGCACGCCATATCTGCTTGTAATAGATTTCTATTGCTGCATAACAAGTGACTACAGACGTAGTCAGCTTACAACACACTCATTTATTATCTCAGTTCTCATAAGCCAAATTAGGTTTTCTACTCAAGACTAAAATCGAGGTGTTGGCTGGGCTGGTTCCTTTGTGGAACTTCGGGTCTTCTTTCAAGCTCACAGGGTTGTTGGCAGAGTTCAGTTCCTTGCAGTTGAAGGACTGAGGCCCCTGCTGTCTTGCTGGCTGTTAAGGCTGGGGCAGCTCTAGGCCCCGGAGGGCAGGAGGGCACCCGAGGTTCCATGGCAGGCGGCTCCCTCCATGTGCCTTCTCATACTTCACCAGAAAGACCCAGTCCCTTTAAGGGCTCACCTGAGTAGGTCAGGGCCATGGAGGATAATCTTCTACTTGAAGGTCAACTGATTTGGCAATTTAATTGCATCTGCAAAATCCTTTCACAGCAGCATCTAGATTAGTGCTTGAATAACCTGGAGAAGGTATGTGGATATCAGGGCACAGGAATCTCCCTATCCAGAATTCTGCCTACTTCTCTTAGTCCATTAAGGCTGTCCTAAACAACAGAAATTTATTTTTCAGGAGATTGGAAGTCTGAGATTGGGGTGGCAGCGTGGTTGCACGAGGGCCCTTTTCTAGGTTGCAGACTTCTTGTTTATCCTCATATGGCAGAGGGGCTCTGGATCTTTTTGGATTTAAAAAATATATATATATTTTATTGATATTTTTACAGAGAGGAAGGGAGAGTGATAGAGAGCTAGAAACATGGACGAGAGAGAAACATTGACCAGCTGCCTCCTGCACACCCCCCACTGGGGATGTGCCTGCAACCAATGTATATGCCTTGACCGGAATTGAACCCGGGACCTTTCAGTCCGTGGGCTGATGCTCTATCCACTGAGCCAAACCGGTTTTGGCTGGATTTTTTTTTAACAAGGCACCAATCCTATTCATGAGGGCTCCACCCTCATGACCCAAGCATATCCCAAAGACCCTACTCATACAATCATCATGGGAGGTTAGGATTTCAGCATGAATTTGGGGGAACACAAACATTCAGACCATAGCACTACCATAATGATTTATAATAAACATTTTATCTCAATCAATTATATTTAAAACTATGGTATTTAGTAAGTATCTGAGAACAGCAGAAGTGATGTTCTTAAAAAGAAATGAGAGAACTGAGCCAATAATCCAGAGGCTATAGCAAAAGTATTATAAATGAGTGATAGATTTATGCTCAAGCTAAGGGGGAGAAAACTGCACCAATACAAACCCATGTTCTATTAACCTTAAGCAGCAATGATGTACACGGGGCCCAGAATTCACTTAGAAATCACTGCATAGAGTCCAGCCGCGTCTGCTAACACAGGATCAGCTTGGCGAGGCAATGTGTTTGGGGGTCTTGTGGGCAAAGACCATCTTTTGTCTTACCCCTCAGTTCCTAACTAAGAGGAGTGATGCTGTATCCCCCAGATTAGAATCCTTTCTCAAAACCCCACTGCCACCGGTGATAGAAAGCCCTGGGATTTTTTGAAGATGTGAGTTTTAAATCTAAAAATTTAAAAAAGATGTCATCGTCATAGACATCCTTCATTGGGTGGATAGCTGCCGTTATCAAACCTGGAAGATTGGTTAGCTGCTGGTATTTGCTGCCCAGCTACCATATAGAATTGTGATGGGGTCAGAGCTGTGATTAAGGAACCTTCTCTGATTGCTGTGTTTGATTGGGGAAAAGCAGGAGGGCTTTCTTTACATTTTCCCCTAATACCTGACATTTTAAGAACATTTTAAAATATTCTTTTGCCAAGGAGAGAAAAGGCCTGGATTTTTTTTTATATCTTTCATTGAAACAATGAGACTCTTGTTATGTTTGCCACTTT